TTGGAACAACAACTCATCTCCAGAAAAACCAAAAACATGGTTGCCAACACTAGAATTAAAACTAGAATTGTCTACAAGGTGCCTGCAACCCTGCCAGTGCCTTGACTGCAGAGAGCGGTGAGAACAACATTTTGTTCCCACATCTATGCCCTGCTAGAGCATCAGAATCATTTCAGCTCAGCCTTAGGCCTTTCCCAACCAACACCAACATGAGTGTTCACAAGAATGTGCCACATGAAGTACTGACGGGGTAGACAGCTGAGCTTTGGTAACTGCTCAGCATCATCTCCCCTTCTCTTTGCACTCAGTAGCCTACAGCTGCTGATCCTTATACCCATTCCTTTGGGAACCCATCTACCACTAGATGGTGGTAGAGCCCATCAACCACCATTGCCTTTGTGTATCTCCTGGAAATGCTAATAATCATGTCGTCCCCAGTGCATGTGTTTTCTCGCTTTATATTTGGGTACGGATGCTCACTGCCTCACTCACAGTATTGCATAGATGTGCTTGGTTTCAGCTGGATGTAACTGTCATAGAATCATAGAACCACTAAGGCTGGAAAAGACCACATCTAGTCCAACCTCCAACCCATCCCTCAACCTTGCCCACTAACCCACATTGGCACATCCACATGTTTCTTGAACACCTCTAGGGACAGTGACTCGAGCACCACCCTGGACAGCCTATTCCAAAACCTGACCACTCTTTCAGAGAATACAATTTTGACAACATCCAACCTGAGCCTGGTACAACTTAAGGCCGTTACCTCTCATCCTATTGCTGTTACCTGGCAGAAGAGGCCAACCACCACCTCACTACAACCTCCTTTCAGGGAGCTGCAAAGAGCAGCCTCCCCTGAGCCTCCTCCTGTCCAGACTCAACAACCCCAGTTCTCTCAGCTGCTCCCCATAACACTTGTGCTCCAGACCCTTCAGTTTTGTTGCCCTTATTTGTAGGTGAATGTGGCCGTCACTTGACCTCCTCTACTGAAATGGTGAATGACAAATAGCCATTGCTTCCTCAAAAAACTTCTGGTTTTCTAAAGAAGCTCTGTGTTGTTTTTCTTCCTGGACAAATTTCACATGGCTCCATGTGGTTTGTCAGCTTCATGCACTCCAAAAATAGAATCATAAATGTAGTAAAATTTATCTCATTCAGATTTCAAAAGTAAAATATCTGCAAGAAGCAGCAGAGAAACAGAGGCTCTGATAAATCTCATTTATCTTTCTAAAAAGGGAGAATAAAAGTCAATGAAACAAATAAAAAAATAAAATATGGAAAATAAAAAGAGGTAGCAATAACTTCTGGATTTTCATTTTTGCATTTTTATGTATGCTGCTGAATACAATATAAATATATTGAACAGTTGCTGTTTTCTGACAGGACTTATATTTCAGGTCCTTTTGTAACACAGCAAGTCACTCCAGAGCAGGTAAGCGTGGTGGTGAAAAATTGTTTCTTGGGTGACTGCAGCCAACAGCCATATGCCTCATAAATCTGAGGTTAAATAAAACTCTTGGTGCTCGGCTGCAGCAAGGGAGTAACCCCACCTTCCAGAGGCACCACGTACTGCTACACCATACACGGTCAAGCCCAGCTCCACATCTGGCAGCTGTGAGGTGCTCTGTTCTTCAGCCATGATTAATTTACCCAGGATGTTAAATTGGCCCAGTGTTTTCAAAAGAGCTTGTCGTGGGTATGCAGCTGGTAGAGGGCATGTATAGCCAGCGTAATACAGTGCAGCTCCATACTCTAGTGTCACCCACATGAAGCCAGCACACCTATATGGAACAGGGAAGTACACTGCCACCATACAGACCCAAAGTCCCCTTCCCGGTACAGCCACACTTGAGCATGTATGAGGATTAGTTCAGCTCAGCATTGTACATATATAGTTTCTTTCCCTTGGAGTGCAAGAGTCACAAAGATCTTCACAGTGCTGTATAAGGCAGCTCCCCACAGAGCTGGATATGCTGCCTTCTCACAGTGGCAAAATGACTTCTCTCAGCTCTTTTGTGTAGCAAATGCAGGAGTAGCATCTGCTTTTTACCATTGTTACCGAGCACCAGTTATAACCAAGGAGACCCCTGTCAAAATGTACTTAGGATACAATTTATGCCTCAGATTGTTGACATACCTTGTCAAATAATGGATTTATATCCCACTGATTTGATGTATGAAGTCAACCTGATTTATAAGTCATGCCACTTTGTATGCTATTGCATTCATTTAAGAGTCATCAAACTGATTTATGCCTTGAGCTTTTGAATTATAAATCACACTGGTATTCTGCATTTCCTGTAACTTATTTGTAATCCAGCACTTTTTACATTGGTTGTAATCTTTGATTTACTAACTTGTCTATGAAAATGGGGGAAAAAAAACGATGACATGCATGATGAGCCCATGCCCTAGTCTGTACTTGCAATGCACACTGCACCTTCAGAACCAGCCTGTTTCAGTGGCCGAGGCAAAACTACTCAAGTCCTATCTTTTGCATATCCACATCACACACAATCCCACAAGCCCTTCTGCAGTCCTGCTAAGGTCATTGCCTAATTTAAGCCAGTACTTCTGAGGCTGGACTTGTGTGGCCCACTGATCCCCTACTGGTCTGATTGAACCTGATAGCCCCAGAGGACAAACAGCCAGCAGCCATTCACACAGGCTCAGGATGCACGAGGTGAGCCTAAGGTGTCTTCTTCTGGGGTGAGCTATGTGTCCTTCTGAAACCCAGACACTGTTCATTAGGTTTCAGTGACTATTTTCCAAGCTTATTTTTAATCTGATACTTCTTACTTGAGGCACAGGGGTTCCTCCACCATATGAAGAACACAGCTTTGCTATGCTGGGAAAATCAATGTCTTGAGTATCCCCATATAAAATCTGAATTTACTCATCCCCCAAGCATGATGTGGCCATCGGTTTTTCTCTCACAGAACCATGTGCTGTGGCCACTGGAATTATTGTGCTGTTCTGCAACCTTACATAGAAGCAATTAAACACACAAAGAATGCCCTCACAAGGGATTAACCCCTCTTGTAGGGCAAAGACAGCTCAGCATCATTCTCTTGGACTTCTGCTCTGTTCCTCTGTTTCCACATGCTTCTTACTGCAAAATTTCAGCTAATCATGGGAGCTGAGGCCACTCACAGTTCCATGGTTATACAACTCTGTATGAATGCATAACAATAGAGGAGCAAAGGCTAACAGGTCTCACAGGGAAAGGGCTATCAAGTCCAACTGGGCACAGAGAAAGAGTGCTAACACAATGCTTGAAGCCCAGAAAAACAGCAAGCCATGAAAACCAGAGGTTTTTACTGGGGATAGTGATCAACTAGAATTGCACAGTTCAGATGTTGTGTGAGTTACTGCCTGAATATTTTGGTTGTGATTTCTGCTTGTTAAAACTCCATGCATTTAAAAGAGGTAAAGAGGTAATAGTCAACAGTCTAAAAGACAAAATAAAAGGAATGCTTGCATCAAATTCAGGTACAATTATCTTTCCTGAGTTTTCTATTTAACATAGATGTAAAGTTCAGCAGGTTGCTGGAGGTGAAGATCTCTCTTCCTCGTAATACTTCTTGGGAGCTAGGATGTGAAACAGGCATGCCTTTGTATAATGTATATTAATCTGTATATGAACTGAGATCTCTTCTGCTGTTGTACCCTGAGTCTCTATATTGGTCAGGTATCTACTTGCAGGGAAATGGGTTGTGTCACTCATTTTAGCTTTATCCATTATATTTTAGAATGAGTTGGGATATTTTAATGCCAACAGGTTACAAACGCACGCTCAGCTATAACAACTCATGTTCAAAGCAATGAAAAGGAAACCTCTCTCATCAATAACAGCTGGGTATTTCTTTATACAAAATAACAAAATTGTTCATATGAGTAAGAAATGCCAAAGCCCTGAGGCAAGCACCCACTGCCCTTGTCCCACTGTTCACAGTGTGGGATGTGGCTCTCAGCCCTCCTAGAGCAGCCACGTTTTTTGACCACGCATGAGGGTAAGCACTGTTGGCAAAGCTACAGAAATATCTTTACAGAGGAACACATTTAGTTCTGTATTTGAATCGTGTGATTAACCATGCATGGGAGCACTGACCAAAAAATATAAGTGCCAAAATTTCTCTTCCAAAGAATGAAACTGCTGTTGAGGTATCATTATTGCTACTGCCATTTTCACTCCTACAGGCTGCTTCTGCGAATGCTTAGAGTATCAGGAGTTTGGAAGTAGAGAGACTGTGAGTGACACACACCAACCCTCTACATATTCCTGGGAAACCAGGCACACTTAAGAAAAATACACAGCAGTAATGGCCTTGGTGTACATATCGTCCCTGTTGGTGCTGAGCATCCTGTGATGCTTTCCACGGGAGAGAGGCACACACCACATCTGCACAGTGACCTCCAACTGTTTGCTGATGTTTTGGTATGATAGAATCATAGAATATCCGGAATTGAAGGGACCCATAACGATCATTGAGTCCAACTCCTGATCGTAATCATAGAATCATAGAATAACAGAATGGCTTAGGTTGGAGGGGATCTTAAAGCTCACCCAGCCCCACTCTGTGCCGTGGGCAGGGCTGCCCCCCACCAATCAGGCTGCCCAGGGCTCCATCCAGCCTGGCTTTGATTTCCTCCAAGTATGGGGCACCACAGCTTCTCTGGGCAGATGTGCCAGCTCCTCACCACCCTCTGAGGAAAGAATCTCTTCCTAACATCCAACCTAAATCTCTCCTCTTTTAGTTTAAGGCCATTCCCCTTTGTCCTGTGTCTCTCAGTCCATCTGCCAATGCAGGGCCATGCTGAAGTTTTTTGAGTGGGAAACAACTGGTGAATTCAGAACATGACTGAGGATGCCAGGAAAACAAACAAACAAACAAACAAAAAAAACTGGTTTCCAAAGGGAAGCCATACATACAAGCAATTACCAAGGAGGGGATTTCCAAAACAGAAAAAGTAGATAAAACAGAAGCAGCACTGACCTGGGTGGTTTCTCAGACACAATATTTCACTCTTCCTTTTTCTGCAGAAGTGTTTTGGGGTGGCTGTTGCTTCCAGGAGTTTTCTGATTGGTGTTGTCTAAAGCTTTCAATGAGAAGAGGAAAACTCTGAGTCACCATTTATTACTTTAGGATATAAGAAGAAAATCTCTTCCCATCTCTGTCTCTGAAAGCTGGTGTTTTGGGCTCCTTTTGGTTAGCTGCCAATGTCAGCATTTGTAGGAACAGCAGTGACATAAGAATAACTGCTCTGAAAGGTAAGCGACCTCCTGGAGCAGATGTCCAAATACTTTCAAGATAAATTATTCAGCCAGAAGAAACATATCTGTCAGTGACTACACTGATAATTTTCATTCTCCACTCTTTGTTGAAGCACTGGTCTAGAAATCACAGCTTGAGAAGCTCTGAGTAGAATTGCAAACTGTTGTCACAGTTGTCAGTGTTTCTCTTCTGTACTGGTATCTTGCTCTTCCCCTGCATAGTACTGAATTTGACTTGGACTTTCTGAAATCAAAGGAATATGACTAGATGGTGTTCTACACAGTCTTCTAATTTTTTTTAAACCAATAACCAGTTCAGTCTTGGTATAATGGCCAGCTTTGAAAGAGCAAAGTCCTTAAGGAGCTAGAAACATGATTATTTCCCTACTTTGACCTCTGCATATACTCACCTCTTGAGGTGGAGTCATTCCCTGGGAGCCATGTATTGACACAGACCTAAGATTTCCAAAAAAATGCATTATCCAACACACAAATATCAATTTTCGTCATTCTGTAGGGGAAGCTTTTTGAAATTCAGAGTCCAAAAATGCCATTAACAAAATTCCAGGAGCAAATTTTACAGAGTAAACACTTAATGCACAATATATTACAACAAATAATCTGCATTCTTGCACAAGTCCATCACCAAAATACAAGACAATTGAGTAAAATGAAATATTTTACAGGCTGTGCCTTGCCAGGCCAAGAAAAACTGAAATGTATCCAATGCTTGCAAGCATCAATCGGTTTGCTCAGCTGTCACGGCCGCCATCATTGTGTTTTATAGGACTGTAGCAAACATATTCCTATCAGTAGTGCTACTTCAATAAACAAACAAAAAAAGTGCTTATTGACATAAAAGCCTGATTGAAGAATTGATACTGAGTTCTCAAAGCTGTCTGTAAATTCTGCGTGCGATAGGTTCGTGGTGATACTTCACCCTCCTGGCTGGATCCAGCAGGATGCCAACAGTTGGCAGCTATGCTTCAGCCGGGCTCCAAGCTCATTTTTGAGCTCGTTGCCTGCCAGAGCTGGAACATCTCGCTCAAAACATGCCATGTCACCAGTGGATGACAAGATGTTCCTTCCCACCTAGAAATAGTCATCCTTTCCTGCTGGCTGTGGTACAAGGTGATGAGAAAACAAGTTCAGCCACTAATATTTGCCACTGTGGTTATATCATTGACCTCAATGACACCGTTATCCCCTGAGTGGGCACCTGAGCATCGAAACCTAAAACACCCTGAAGACAGCACTGCCAGCCTGGGTCTTTTTTAAGGCTACAATGATGGTGAAAGGCATAGCGGGGGAAGATGTGTGATGAGTAGCTGAGGTCCCCTGGTTTGCTTAGCATAGAGCAGAGGAGCTGAGGGAAGGCCTCGTGGGGGCTGCAGCTCCTCAGAAGGAGCGGAGGGGCAGCGCTGAGCTCTGATCTCTGTGACAGCAAAGGGGCCCGAGGGAACGGCATGGAGCCGCATCAGGGGAGGGGCAGCTGGGGGTCAGGGAGAGGTCTGCACCACAGGGCGTTCAGGTGGCACTGAGCCAGCCTTGAGGAGGCTCAGTGAGACCAGCCAGCCAAAAGATACCATCTCACTACAGCTTTTAAAGCAGGATTTATTGGGATTTGGCACAAAATGTCGGTGCAAGGCAACTTGTCGGGTATGTAAGTCTTCTTAGTGAATGACGCAAATTGTCAATACAAGTATTTAAACAGTCCTCTGTAGGGCAGGTCCCTCCCTCAGACAGCCGCACCCTGCCCCTCTCTCCCCCTGACCAGGCTCACTGCCCTTAGGCAGCAGCAGCCACCCCTCCCTGCACAGGATTCCTGTCCAACAGCACCTGCAGACCACATACAGCCTGCATTTTTTCTCCAATCTCTTGGTTTTGCAGCAAGTACTGTATCACAATGCTCTCTGGCCACTCAAAGCCATGCCCAGCATGCTGGATTCTTTCATATATCAGATCACTTATCTGTAGGTATCTCCTGCTCAGCTTCCCATTTCTTGCTCAGTGTAATACTTAGATAAGATGTTCCACTCATCATTATTGCTGTTAAAAGGTTGAGTCTTTAACTCCTATCAGCCCTTCTGACTGCTTGCCATCTGATTTAACAAGCCTCCTGACATGGGGGATTTAAATCCTCATTGTGTCTTCAGCCTATAACACTGTGTTTAAGCTGACACAATCATCTTTTAACAGCCAAGAATTCACTGGGAGGAAATCCCAGTATGTGTCCACAGTTGGCAATGACAAATTTTTACTTTAGCCATTAACAAATAATCAAAAGTCTCTTATATACAAATGATAATGGTCATGGAAGAGACTCCTGTACCCAGAATAAAGAAATAGTGGTGAATTATCCCAAAGACGAATAAACTGGATTTACTGTATGTAAGTATGTGCAACTTCTCCTGGATGACTCCAGTGTCATGTCAATACATGCTATACCAGTACAATTACAATTACATGCAATACCTGTACAATTACAGGTCAGAAGGGCAAGTGAGCTGAAACAAAAGATAAACAGCAACTGTAAATGGGGCATTTCCAGACTTGTGCTTACCGAGCCAAAACTATTCTTTTTACCACATTGGTATGCAAATGTATTGAGTTAGCCCTACATTCTGCCTCCAGCACAAGAAAGATGTGGAGCTGTTGGAGTGGGTGCAGAGAAGGGCCTCAAAGGTAATCACAGGGCTGGAGCATCTCTCCTATGAGAAAGGTCGAGGGTTTTGAGTTTGTTCAGCTTGGAGAAGAGAAGGCTCTGGGGAAACATCATTGCATCCTTTCAGTACTTGAAGAGAACTTACAAGTGGGAGGGGTACCAAATTTTAAGTGGTCTAATAGTGATAGGATAAGGGGGAATGGCTTTAAACTACAAGAAGGAAAATTCATATTAGATGTTAGGAAATAAATTCTTCTCTCAGAAGGAGGTGAGGCACCGGAGAACCCAGAGAACTCGTGGATGTCCCATCCCTGGAGGCATGCAAGGCCAGATTGGATAGGGCCCTAGGCAGCCTGATCCAAAGCCTGGTTTAGTGGTCCAACCTGGCAGGGGGATTGGAACTGGATGGGCTTTAAGACTCTTTCCAACCTAAGCCATTCTATGGTTCTGTGACTTTCCTGAGGAAAAATCAGCTGGTAAAACTTCTTTTTGCACCACTCAGCCAAGTTTCACACATCTCTGCTAAGTCTGAGCAGAATTTGGTGTGACAAAAAGAAGCTGCCAAATTTCATGAGGCGAACAATGCAAAATTGCTCAGTGTATATCTATACTCTATCTGCATGAGTTTGTAGCCTTACAGCTACTGGAATGAATGCAGCACTCTGTCATTTGGTGTCTGCTGGCAGACTGAGGTATGTTTATGTGCAGCGGCACTTGTCTGCCCAGCTATGGCTGTCTAGGAAGGGAATAGCTTACATTCCCTGGAAAAACCCCAGTGATGATGTAGCTAGCTGCTACATGGAGATATCCTTCCAATAGTGTTGTCAGAGTACAGGAAAGAGCATTAAAGATTGCTTCATTCTCTGATGTGCGTAGCCTGGATGAATGGAAAGAAAAGTTTCTCTTATGTAAACATGAATTAAGTATGGACAGAGGAGAGCGTGTGCCAGCACTAGATCCCAGTCTTGTGCAAAAGACACTACTCATTCCAAGTGTCCCCCCAGTCCCTCCAGAAATGACACTGGGAAAGGGTGGTCTGTAAGGCAGCCCAGAAGGAGCTTCTCCTTTCCATTATTGTCTCTTCCTTCAGGGGCCAAGAGAACCAAAATATACATCATTCTTCTCCAAGGCTTAATATAACAATGGCCCCAAGCCCGTGTGATCATGGGTCATGAAATACTCTTTTCTGTACTTGACCCATTCACTTAAGCAGATGACAGTGATAGTTCTGATTTCTTTAGATAACTCTATGACTCCACATAGTTTTTTGTGAGTTTAACACAAAGACAGAAACTGAATTTTGAGACAGGTACCTGAAATCATGAGAAGATGCTGTCTTGGTTGAATTCTTGTAGCAAGTGGCACCAAGTATGTCTGAAATGTTGGGCATGTTTATGAGGATATATGGAGTCTGTCAAAGTGAGAAGCAAGAGGTTAAAGTGAGGTAGTGTGCTGGAAGACCATTCCTAAAACTTTCCTACAGCTGTGTCTACGCTTTCTGTGAGGTTCAATGCCTTCAGTGACTTATTCTTATACAAAGCATGGTTAGTAGCATCACAGTTTCACTGATGAGACTATTTTGTGGATCAGGATCATAAAGAAGCCCTAATGAGTAAAACCGATGTAAAAACCAACCCTGCCTTCATGATAGATTTTGGTTCCATTACTCACCCACAAGGCTGCAGAGTCTGTATTATTTGAATACACAAGGCAGCTTGAGAGTAAGGTTCTACCTGAAACACCTTGTCTTCTCTTTAAGGGTATGAAGGGTCATGTGTAGCTTTCAAATATAGGTCCTTCCTGGAGTGTGGAAGAGTGGATCACAGGTCACTCACAAAGCTGTTATTTTGTGGTCTGAAGAAATAACCTTGTCTAAGTAAAACAAGTCTCATAAGGCAGAAATGAAAGAAAGAAAGAAAAACATAACACAAAGAGATGGTGTATGCAGTGCTCTGAAAGGAAACAAGGCATGTGTGTGTCTGAAAAAGACTTGGAAAGGGACTTGATAAAGCTGTCATTTTCCTAGAAAAGTCAACATGATGCAAAATTTGGGTAAATGATGTTTCTTTTTGTGAAATGTCAATATTTGTAACAGTAATACAATTGAGAGGAAATATCATGTTTATATCACTGAATTGGATAATCATACCTTTGATTTTCTGCTTTTTTTTTTTTTTTTTTTTTTTTTTGTATCTACTGTTCAATGGGAGAGACTGAACTGGGAACAGGTGACTTACTAAGTGGCTGAAAGTCCATCAAGCAAAACAGAAAACCCAGGCTGGAATTTTGTAATAACTTTTTCCAAAAATTTCTAAAGAAATGTGCTTGGTAAGGCTCTGGGTATTTGTAAGAGTGCATTTTCAAACAGTCGTTCCCAGAAAGAGGTTGGAGATCTGGGAAGCGTAGTTACAGACACACAACAGCTATTCGTGTTGTTAATGCAGAGAATATCACAGATTCATGAGGAAACCCTGGAGCAAAACAGTTAATAATATCGTGTAAACATTTTCCATACAGAGGTCACATATGACTGACACACAGTACTACCGATTTGATAAAACACTTTTGTAGACTAAAACAACATAAGCCAGGCTGTCACTCATCTGAGCCTTAGCCTCAGGGCTTATTTAAGATATAGAAATGGAAACGAAGTGTATTTTAGTGATACTCTTTCATGTTTCTCTTCCCCTGGTGCTGGAAGGACTGGTAGGAGTTCAGTACATGTTGGAGGAAATTGTGGTACCTATTGGTGAATGACACTGCTATTTGTATTCTGTGCCCTACATGACCCAATCAATTCTCTGTTGTAATAAACACCACTGCCTGACTAAAGAATTTAACCTGAGAAATACTGAACCTGAAACAAATGTCATTTGACCTAGATTGGATTTTTTGTTTGTTTGTTCATTAAAATTGCTCATAAGGTTCCATTTCCTGAGGCAAGCCAAGGGTGAGAGAAAGCAAATATACGCATCTGAACATAATCCTTGATGATCTTATATTGAAATGCTTGTGCCATACATCTTAATTATCACGTTGTACTCAAACATTCAAATTAACAGTTCCAACAAGGTATATTCAGAAATATCAAACCTTATTTAAAAAGACATTCTACGTATATTTCTACTGTATAAAGTACTTATATACTATATCAAGCAGTCTGCATCCACCCGGGAGTTAGAAATGATGTGTTTGCTCCTAAACTAAGAGCTTAGATCTTTTTGACAGAAGACTATTTTTTTGTCTTCTCTTATCCTTTTTGTAAAAAAGCTTTAACTTTTTTTTACTTCAATTGAGTGGTTTTATTGCAGTTAGCTATCTGGATCAAGAGTTTCCTTGCTATTTCTGTTACAATCAGTTTCTCTGGATGTTTTTGCTCATTCAACATTTTGTTTAAGATAAGAACAGAATATTACTGAAACTGAGCTAGCTAGTGACTAAAACAAATGTATTTGTCCCAGTCCTTTCTAATGCCAGTATCTAGAAAAGTTCAGAACACTCCCATTTATATCAACTTGCAGACTGATTGGCTAACCTATCTTAGTGAAGGAAGTCTCAAGTCTGGCTGACTGGTATGTGAGCAAAATAAATACCTGCCACCTGCTCCAGCATTCTAAGGAACCGTTAGTTGAAAAAACAAGCCCAGGTGCATTCTAGAAGGCCAAAAAAAACACCAAGACCTTCCCAGTGATAATGAAGTATATAATTAAAACTATCAGAAAATTACATTTGTAACTGGATAGTGTATGGGACTATACTTCTTTAAGCCTAATTTTCAAATAACATCAGTACTTTCAAGCACCAAAGATGTATGGACAAGTCCTTTCCACACTGACACCACTAAGAGAGCAATGCTTACACCAGAAAAGGAGCCTCGGCTTTATAAGAATATTGAGATAACTCCCTCTCTGGATGAGCTCTCATTGATATTCTTGTCATCCCCTATCTAGACTCAGATCTCAAAGACAGATGTTTGGATGAAGAAGATGGAAATTGTTTCAGGCTTATAGTCGGAAATCAGGAAGTGTGATAAACAGAGAGCTATCAGCATTAACAGAGTGGGGAAACAGAAAACTCACGTACATAGAGATCTACTTTTCAAAAGAACAACGAGCCTTTTCAATCCTTAGCCTGTAATATTATACCACATTGTGGTTCTATCACAAAGACTAAAAATGTAAAAAATATATATATATACATATAGATAATTATACTATTCAAAGTTGTATTAATACATATTCTTTTAAAAGTTAATGAAATACAGATATGTATAACTTACAGTTCTTTTAGGGTTGATTAATAGGCATTTTTAATACAAATTTCATGTGGTTTTGGAAAAAAAGAGTTGGCTTTCACTCATAAAAACAATGGTATCCTGCAACAACTCTCCAGACAAAATAAACCTGTGAAATGAATAGCTGTTCTTATTTAAAAGGACCAACTGATAGCCTAGAGCAGTAATAAAAGTATATACCGCATCATTTTTCACTTGTTGCTCATCCGAAAAGATCTCCAGTTCACACAGAGTCGTTGAGAATCAGACAGGATTCTAAAGATCAGTCAAAGCCTAGTATGCTTCATTAGTAGAGTTTAGGAAGCAGTAATTAAAAGCATGCAAGTTGTAATACACTGCTGCAGGATTAAGCAGAATGACGGATGTCATTATGTCACTTTCAGAAAAATTCCACTTTCTTTCAATACTGGTATAAATCTGCAGTAATTCTCCTTGCTTGAATATAGCAGCTCAAGTTGGATGATAGCAGAGAATAAAATGTAGGCCATTGTCTTTTATCATTATTCACATCTCCTGGCCATCAATCCCAGTGCTTTTTTTTCAAAAGTAATAACATCAAAAGAAGTGATCACTGTCCATATATAGTACTGCTAAACCAAGGACTTTTTTGTGTATGTGATTATGCAGTATCAGTCTTTGTAATGTATAAATGAAAGCTACAAACCACAGAAAGGAGACTTCTTCTAGGTATCTATTCATATTTGTTATTAAACTTCCTCCAGTATTAGACAGCCATTTGTTTCTGAGAAAATACAAGGTCCACATCCACTGGAAATATGTTTGCTAACAGACCAGATGGAACAGGATAAACATTAATTATGTAATTGTTAAACTCCACGAGGATCAGCTAAGCTGCAATTTGTCATTCTGGTTTTGAATAGTTCATGGTAATGTCTCTGATTACATAAATTGATGCTGGCTCTCACATTAATGGTATTTTTACTTTGGAGCAATGAAGGACAAGAAAGGATTTTCTCTCTAGAATCTTTTAGGGGCAGGTTTTCTACTGAAACACTGTTTTCCTAGAAAAATTTTTACAGGAGATTTAAATTGAAATGATATATATATACTTTTTTTTTATATATATATATAACTACTCAGTACTTGCAAGTCTCCACTTCACTCTAATGCAGAACTTATATTTTACTGTAGGAAATCTCCTTGCTCTTTTGGGTTCTCCCCTTGACTCCCCTGCCTGCACCCGATCCGAAAACGAAGATGCATGAAGATGCATGTGGGAAGAAGAACAACGTTACTGTGTTTTGGGTTGCACTATAAAGAGAATGAAAAATTAGTGTAATAAAAAAATCAACTCTTTCCTGAAGTTTTTAAGTTCCAGAGCTCCATAACTTGGAGGAGCAGATCTCAAACTGCAGTGAGAGCAGAATGCACTTCAGTAATAAGTCTGTGAATGAATAAGTCCATGAGATGAAGAGTAAAGAAATCACAAAGATCACATTTCCTTTATAATAAAGAGACACAGTGACACTGCACTGTCATTTGCAGTGCATAATTTGGAGATGGCTCAAAGCTTCAAAAACTTATTCAGAAGCTCCAGAAAATGCCTCTGAGAGAGAAAGAGTGAGACTCTCAGTCTCTTTAACTTATCAAAGAAGACTGAGGAGAAATAATTACAGAATGCAATTATCTCCATGAGGGAAAACCACTAACGCAAGGATTAAGCAGCTTTTAAACTGGCAGTGAAAAGTGAAATGAGAACTAAAGGCTGAAATCGAAACCCTGACAAATCTGTGTTACTAAATAGGCAGAATAATTTAATGGGTATAGTAGTTTACCTCTGAAACACAGCAATAGAGAAAGTAGCAGGTTATCCATCTCTCCTGGTCTTCAAATTAGCTATCCTGCACTAAAACATGAAGGAACTATGGTTTCTTAATGAAGCAATTATAAAAGAAATGTTAGCAGGTACAAAACAGGCTTCTTGTAATCTCCCTCTGTGAAATGACCAGACTGCTTCAGGGGAAAGTCAAATGTATACAAACACAAGACCAGCTTGGAAGAGGCTCCTTAAAGCACAAATTTTGCAAGGCTGTGGACAAATCAAATCAGACCTTAAATATAAGTAGTACAAGTTCAATTTTTACAAATAACTTTCAGGTTTAACTGCTCTGCACAGAAGCTCAGGCAAAAAGGATTTCCACAGCCCAGAGTATTCAGCAAAAACTACTGACATTGCTGAGATGATCGTTTTCAAATATGTACAAAATGACTGCAGCTTCATATCCATATTCCTACGTTAGTTGAACAGTCTTGATTAAAATTTCAAAAGAAAATAAGATTTTAGATTCAAAAAAGAAGTGTTAATCTTCATGGAGGCATTAATCTTTTTTGAACATTAAGACAATTTCCTAGTATATTGATTGAAATAGAAACAATCTGAAACAATCTGAAATAGAAAGCAATTATATGGATTGAGAAGATATTTTTAAATAGTGGAAATACATCAGATTTTGAAAACCAGTTAATTTTTGAAAACTTTTTTTTTCCTGATTTTTTTCACGTAGCTTTAAAATGCAAAAATCAGAGACTGGTCTGATCCAGAGTCAGACACAGCCACTTACAGACACTAATGTGCATTCGTACACATGGGTCAGATGCAAGTAGCAGAGTTTGGCTTCATGTTTGCAAATTGCATTTTTTTCTTTTTTTGTTTCCCTAAAATTCAGCTGTTATAATGTAAAGCTTATTAGATTTTCTCCTTATTATTAACCTGGAGGTCCTCCAGCCTCCTCCCTGCTCCCTTTCTTATTCATTTTTATACTTCTAACCTGATGCAATCTGCCTGCAGGGGCAAATACAGTTATCTCCTTCTAAATTAAAATTGTAACTCATTTGGTACAGTTTACACAAGGCCTCAGCTTTGACACATGCAATTACATTGAACATAAGAGGAACATGATTGCTGAGAGCCACCAGAAATAGAGTTTAATCAGAGAACATGGACTTGTTCCAACAAATTTATAATTTCTCCACTTGCTACTCTTTTATGTTCCTGGGTGTTCAGATAATTAGAAACACTGGTTTCTTTGCTTCCCAAGAGGCCAAGGAAAGCAAAATTCCTTCTTTTACATTAACAAGATAAATTTATAATACAAACAATCCATAACTTTGTTGTTGAAACGACAAATACATAAAACATTAATTTTAGTACTTACAGAATGTTGCAAATAATTAGGTCTGTAGTTTTTGTATGTATCTCACAACATAGACTTATGTGAATTAATTACCCATTCAGACGGACAGCTCGGTCTGCCAGCTCTTAGTCATGTAAGAACACTTAGGTATCTCCTATAGCCTGCCTGAAAAGGCAAGTTTTAAGGTAGGTCTTGTGTGAGGTTCCCTTCTTGTGCTATTGTTGTGAAATGCCTCTTCAGCAGAGGGGATCAGATTGCAGGTCTGGAAAAAAACTGAGATGTTAAGGAGGCAGATCCAGTTCTGCTTCTCATGCTTTGAGATTCGCTCTGAAAAGGACTTTACATTTATTTGGTCAAGTTCATTGAAATGTAGAGCTGCACAAACAGAGACACTTCTTGCTGTAATTTGGAAAAAAAGATGCACACTTCGGTCAAAGGATGCCCTGGGTGATGGCACTGTATTCTGCTGAGGATAGGGTAGAATCATAGAATCACAGAATGGTTTGAGATGGAAGGGACCCTTAAAGATGTTCTAGTGCAACTCTCCTGCAATGAACAGGGACACCTACAGCAGATCGGGGTGCTCAGAGCCCTGTCCAGCCTGACTGTGATCGTCTCCAGGGATGGGGCATCCATCATATCTCCAGACATCTCTGACTGCTTATGACTTGATTTCTGTTACACATATGAACCATGAAACATAAATTAATAGACGTGCAACATTTCAGGATTTTGCAGTCTGTTTATTGTGGTCTGAATGCATTCTTTTAAATTATATTTTAATGTCAAGTTTTCCTGGGTTATGAACAGGCCTCTGAGAGGTCTATGGATCAAGTATGGAGTGAGGTTACAGAAAATACAGAAAATACAGTGAAGAAAATGTATGGCTTACAATGTGCTCTGCAGTACAGACACAGTCTAGATCCGGCTTCCTTTAAAAGATGCCACCTGTTTTCTATTTCTCCTGTTGTGTTAGCCATTAACTTTGCTGCCATGGGCACAATTCAGACTTACAAGGTCAGGGCTCGGACAGCAGCAGCTGGTGTTTCAAATGGCTCTCCTTTTTTCCCAAGGCAGTCAGCTTAGATGTGACAACATGTGACCAGGATATACCAAATTCACCAAAAGATAGACTTTCCTGTCCCTGACACACTTTTGCTGTATAGATAACACTGCAAAATGATAAAGATGGAAGTGAACTGTGAGACAGTTACTGAAAGAAAGAAAAGCATCTGGAAAAACAACAAACAGAAGGAAAAAAAAAAGAGGGAAAATGGATTATACAGATATTGTTGCTGAGATTGTCCTCTTTTGGAACTTCCTCAGAGGACATCTTCAGCAAACTGCTTAACCAAAAAGTGTGTTATTAAAAACGTAACTTAGGCAACAGTTGCAGTTACCAAATTTATTAAGAAATGGCAAAGTAGAGGCTAACAAGTTGGTACCATCACATTTGTATAAGTCTGCAATGGCTGAGTCCATCTCCAAGGCATTTCTTTTATTTGGCCCCAGGAATGATTGGAGCCTTGGTGAGTGCTCCTCTGCTTTTTTCTCTCAAGCCTCTTTGGTTTCATCTCAGCCTGTTGTGGGAAGATTCAGCCTAGGATCCCCACACCACATCTTCAGGACTGGAACTGTAGCACAAAGCACTGTAGTATTTGCTATTACAGGAGCTGCTCTCAGATGTGTCATTGTTGGTGCAAGGACACAGGGAGCAGGAACCTGCGGCCAGAAGCAAGATCAGGGAAGAGGAAGAGGAAAGAGAGAACTGTGACAGCCCTGATGGGTCTGCCTTGCATTGCAGTGCAAATAGCCCCAAATCAGCCAAAATTTCACCGCAGTCTTATGCCCCAGGGAAGTTTAGAACTGGAGAGCGGCGTTCTGATAACATGCAAAGAGAGCAAGAGCTGACCATGAGCAATTACACAACATCCTGGATGAAGAAAGGACAGTCTGTTCTCTGTCTCTTTCAGCATGTGAAGCAAAAGCCATCAAATACATTTAGTAGGAGCCAAGTTCAAAACAAACAAAAGGGAGAGGCTCCTCACACAGCCCATACTAGAGCCAGGAAACTCCTCACCCAAGAGTCTGCAGATGCAAGTCCACTGAGACTCAAGTGCAAGCTGCAGAAGTACTTAAAACTTCCCCTGGATGTTATAAAAGAGACTACAGCAATCTTAAGAAGTATTCTTCACTGAGGAAGTTCCAAAAGAGGACTATATTTGCTTTTGTTGCTCCAAAGCCCCCTGCTTTTGGACACTGTTGAAGATGGCTTAGTGGGTTTGATGGGCATGATCTGTGCCAGCCCAGCCACTCCACCAATCTTAACCCGGATCAGTCCCACTAGCCTCCAGTCTCTGGCAGATGGGATGCTTCCAAGCCCAAGACCTCAGCTGAACTTCTGTCTACAACAGCCATTGCTAGACCTACCCTCCAAAAATAGGCCTAATTCATTTTTTAACACGTTCCCGGTCTTTGTGACATATTGTGACAGTAGAGCAATGAATTCTAAAATTAGTGCATAAGCTGTGTATAGAGGCACTTTGTCTTTCTTATTTTAAACTTGCCACTTTGTGCCCTCATTGAAAACTGTCTACTTGGCACATTGGAAGACAGTAAAAACATGGAGAAGATACTATATTCTCTCTCATATGTCCATGCAACTCTTTTCCTGCTTGGAGCAGTTCATTTATTTATATTTGTCTACAACTCAGTGCAAAATTTTACTCATAAAATATTAAAAAATATGTATCTTATGAAGTATCTTTGACAGTTTAATATGGAATTCTTCTACAGCTAGCATGTATGCATAGGAATTTAAAGGATAAACATTTATCTCTATAGATGATTTGCATTTCCTATTATGGTGTTCTCTTGTGCCGAGTTTTCACCAAATATAGACTCTTTACATTTATACTAGACTGTTCCGCACCCTTCTGTCCTAGTTCATACATTCTCAGGCATATAAATTGAATGTAAGGGAGTAGGTTAAGGCACTGAGTACTGTAATGTGAAGGTGAAAACACCAAACTTTGAGTGTAGCAGTGGAGAAATACACAGCACTTAAAAAGAAAGGACTATAAAGAAGGATATACTGTACTTTTTGTTGGTCAGAAGAAAAAAAAAAAAAAAAAAAAAAAAAAAAAAAAAAAAAAAGATAGCAATAGTGGCTAGATAAGAATGGGGATGGACTAAAAACACTTTTAAAATTTCATTTACAAGCCCACACTGAAACTATTCTCTTGTGTTTGTAAATAGAAACAAGTCTGCGTTTACACTTCTGTGAAAATCTACCTTCCTTTGGAAGCAGGGTTTGAATTTTTTTCTGGGCCAGCACAGGTTGCCACTAGATGGTGTGCTAGACTTAAAAAAGACATAAATGGATGAATGTATGCAATGCAAGGGGAGAATCGAATTGTCTCACGGCCATGAGAACCCCCCCCCCCCCCCACATGCGAAGTGGCTTCTTGCAGATCACAACCGACCTCCCACAGACTTAGACTGTACTAATTTTCTCTTTCCTCATGTCTCCTAGGAATTCATGAATGATTTTTTTTCCATTTTATTCTCTGCTTCCTACAACATCACCTCCCTGTCTGTAAGCACTCTGCCTGGAAATCACATGCAAGCAAGGATATAGCAAGAAATATCAAGAACTATGAAACTCATTGAATTTGGTGCAACAACAACAACAACAACAAATTCTGTCCATCCAATCATTGGATTTTTGTTGTAAAAAAATAATAATAATCAGCCTCTGAAGAAAAAGGTTTGAAACCAAAACTTGTTCATTCTGTGGCTTACAATTAAAAGTTGCCGTATATAAAGACTGGCTAACAAAATATACTGGACAAAAAACAACAAATGTCTGTTGTAAAATTTTTCCTTGTGTTTTTATTGCAAAATACAATGCAGTTGATACTTTTCTATCAGGAAATAATACTAACAGCAGTACTGAGTGAAGAGCACCTTGTCTGTGTAAGATATATTTGGGTGTGCGTGGAAGAACACAAGATACCACAGGTCACTTGGTCTTAAGCTTTCGCAAGGGAAAATAAAACTGCAGGTTTTGTCTGTGGTCTCCAGTATATTTAGCCAGTTCCTGTACAGTAATTGATGTGAGACCAAGAACTGAAAATATGGTGTATGCATATGCATGAATGTATTTGAAACATCTTTTCCTGATACCCAGAGGAGGATCAGGCTGGCTATCAGGAAAGGTTTCTTTGCCAGAAAGTGCTGGGGCACAGGAACAGGCTCTCCAGGGCAGTGGTTACAGCCCCAAGCTTGCTGGAGTTGAAGAAGCATTTGGACAAAGCTCTCAGCCATATGGCCTGATTTTTGAGTTGTCCTGTGTGGAGCCAGTTGGACTCAATGATCCTCATGGGTCTCTTCCAACTCAGGATGTTCTGTGATTCTATGATTCTATGAATTATAACTATATATTATAATTTTATATATATGAAGAAGTTGTAAAGCTTCTGCTTAAGTGGGATGCTATTGAGTCATAATTTTTGCATCCTGAGAAACAAATCAATGGCTAGGAATTTAGCATTCATCACTAAGGCAAGTGTTAAGCCAGCGGTGTCCCCCCCATGCATTCTGTGGCTTCTGTCATAACTTGCTTTGGGAATAGCAGTATGGAAGATTGTCTTCATTATATCAGATGGCAAAAGACAGAAAACTGATGGCAGAAAAGAGGAAAAGTTACAGAAACAAAATTTTCTCCCATTTTCTGAAGAATCCTGACAAGCAGTTAGAAATAAGGGGGAAATTATTTACAGTGAAGGTGGAGTTTATCCAAACAAATAGCTGTCTTCTGAGAAATCTCTGTTTAAGTTATTGTAATTTGACTTAACAAATGCTTCATGTTGAAACAGGCTCACTGATACTACTGGGCAGCTACTAGCAGGTTCGCCTACTACTTTGAGGGCAGTTGAGCCCTGAATTACATCTCTGCTCAGCTCCTGTCATGTTTTGCTTCTTCTCTGTGACGCTGACTGTGACCATTTTCAGAATCTTCAGACACTGACATGCTTCCTCTGCAGTTCATTATTTTAACTTCTTAGCCAAAGAGGTGAAGTCCACCACTTCTGGAGCACTGGCCATTCAAGCAAAACACTACATGACTGTCTAGGTTGA